AGTCCAAATTAAAGCAGCATTGCGTCCATCTGTGAAACCATAAATAATAAAAAAAACTTGACAATTTAGTTACAAACAAAATGGCAAAATTTTAATTTTACAATAAAGTAAATGGTCTTTGTAACAATTTGACTTACTTTCAGAAATTGTGATGTCAGCCAGCCTCCCAATCAAAATTTTCACTGACTTGTCTTTGACATGGTTTTCTAAGCTTAAAAAAAGTATAGATTTTTGCCAAACTCTGTCCCATCCTTCTAGCAACCCATCTTTGCTATTAAACGCTGATTTGAAATCCATGTTAGAATACCTCGACTTGCAGGTCGTCACTGAGTTGTAGTACTTAATATAAATCGTACCTCTTCTTTCCGTGCAGTAATACTCCTGCGTTTAAAATTGTCAATTAAACATAGTATTATAATGATTATATGTATGTCAGTAAATAAATTATGTTGATTTTGAAACAAGTTTCAATTTGAAGAAAGAATTAGGACTTACAAGCTTTTCTGAAGGGAATCTTTCAGAAATTCTTCTTGCTGTATGTTTTCATTGGTGGTGGCACTAAATTTTTTTTTCAGGTTGAACACATGGCAAGGTTACTGCAATATTAAAGTTTTTACTTTGATCTATTGATATTTCGTTAAAACTATCATTTGATATTAAGGAGTTTATAGAAGATGCATTCGTAGAATAATAAACCCGAATGACATGTCTCTTAAAAGAAGCTAAATTTTGAAAACCCTGACTACATTCCAGACATCTGAATGTGGAATTTGAGTTTAGATTATGTAAACGTTTGAAATGGTTACTAATAAGTAAAGCTATCTATAAACCACCAAAAACTGAAAAAAAATACACAGTTGATAACAAAACGAAAAGCGTTAGATAGCTATTTTTGTCTTACCTGTAGATTCTATATCTTTTTGGAAAAATATACACTTCTTCACTCAACTGAACACTGTTAAAGATGCGACAATGCGACGAGTTAACTTGATCTATGGTTATAATATGTTATAGCTAGCGCAGTGGTCTGACGATAAAGAAATCGCTGACTTAAATTCGCGGAATACGGCGGTGTAGGTTTGTGATTGATGAATTTTATTCATTGATATGAAGAACAATATTCTTAGCAGTTAAAATCATTGCATTGATGAACCTTCTTCTTTAATACAATGAAGTATTTACATTATATCATGTTAATACCATGTAAAGTTTGATGAACACCTTCATTGCAATTACAAAAAACTTCTTTGAGCCAATGAAAGGTCTTCATTACTATAATGATTATATTTCATTGTGCTAATGAATATGCGTTCATAATATTGATAAACAGGGTTTTTAGTTTATGAACAAATCTTCATTATGTCAATGAAAACCTTCATTGAGACAATGAAAATCAGTCAACAACCACTGTTCATTGATATTATGAGCAACATTTTTTTCAGTGTAGAAGTCAAATACCTAGCAATAATACTAGATAGTAAATTAAACTGGAACTCCACAATAGTTAAAGTGAGGAAAAAAACCATTATGGCTAACCAGATCTGCCGCAGGCTCTTAGAACTGGGATCTTAAAGCAATAATCAGACCCATGGTCGTCTGGTACCTGGTACCTCACTGTTTTGGTCAAAAACAAAGCCTAAAACACCACAACAACAGCTGGCACAAATCCAGCGGTTAGCATGTCTTAATATAACAGGTGCAATGAGATCTTGTCCGATGGCTGCTTTTGAAGCTCTACTCGGTCTCACACCACTTCATTTATACATGCAAAAGGAGGCAGCTTTAAGTGCCTTATCACTGAAAACATGCTCTTCACTCAAGTTGATGCAGGACAACCTCAGAGAACATCTCGAAATCTTCATTTGATTGAAATTAAAACTGACCTTATAGCGGCTGTATACAAATTCGGCCAGTCGTATAACGTCATATTTAGAAGCAGAGATGATTGGACTGATACACCAATGCTTCAAAGACAGTTGGATCCACAGATTCCGAAGTAGGTATGGGCATTACTGGACCAAATAGCCGCATTAAATTGCACCTCAGCTCGGTCATAAGCATTTTTCAAGCAGAAGTTGTTGCTATAAACTTCTGCACCGTTTTGAATCTAGAAAAGGAACAGGAAGGTGCATCCATAAACATTTTTACTGATCAGAGAGGGTACCAGCAACCTGAGGGACTTCGCTAAGAGCAATAAAGTTACTTTATAGTGGGTTCCAAGTTACAGATACATTGAGGGCAAGACTCATGGTCGTACCTGGTACCTGGTACCTCACTGTTTTGGTCAAAAACAAATCATAAAACACCATAATCACAGCTGGCACAAATCCAGCGGTTAGCATGTCTTAATATAACGGGTGCAATGAGATCTTGTCCGACGGCTGCTTTTGAAGCCCTACTCGGTCTCACACCACTTTATTTATACATGCAAAAGAAGGCAGCTTTAAGTGCCTTATCACTGAAAACATGCTCTTCACTCAAGTTGATGCAAAGCAACCTCAGAGGACATCTCGAAATCCTTATTTGATTGAAATAAAAACGGACCTTATAGCGGCAGTATATAAATTCGGCCAGTCGTATAACGTCATATTTAGAAGCAGAGATGATTGGACTGATACACCAATGCTTCAAAGACAGTTGGATCCACAGATTCCGAAGTAGGTATGGGCATTACTGGACCAAATAGCCGCATTAAATTGCACCTCAGCTCGGTCATAAGCATTTTTCAAGCAGAAGTTGTTGCTATAAACTTCTGCACCGTTTTGAATCTAGAAAAGAAACAGAATGGTGCATCCATAAACATTTTTACTGATCAGAGAGGGTACCAGCAACCTGAAGGACTTCGCTAAGAGCAATAAAGTTACTTTATAGTGGGTTCCAGGTTACAGATACATTGAGGGCAAAAATACCCCTAAAATACCATTTCTTAAACATTGGACAAGCTGACGATCAAACTTGTCGATTTTGACACAACATTTTCGCCGCTCCTCTCAGCCCGGCAGCAATAATTATAATAATAATACCAGCTTAATTAAAAAATTAAATTGGTTTTTTTTTACATACAAAAAAATAACAGGACAATACAATACAAAAGATTTACAGTTAACTAAATTACAATAACAAACCACATCCTCTACAGAATATTATTTACAACAAATTAACAAAAGAAGGTTTCATTTATAAAAAATATAAAAAAAATGTATTGTCTCATTATCATTATTAATAAAAAAAAGACTTCCCTTGTTTTCGTTCACACTCAAGAACAATATAATTAATTATCTGTTTGAAACAAACAAGGGCACAAGTTCAAATGATCACATCGTTGTTTTACAAAGGGAAGAAGACGTTTAACACATATGCATTTTGAATAAACGTTGGGTCATTATCGCGTTGAATTGAAGAGAACCTCATGATTTAATGACAAGGTCGAATGTCCGTGAATTTCGCTTCAGCACAGGAAACGTAAGGTTAATGGCAAAACGTGTCGATCCCCTCTATTTTTTGTTCGCATTAAAACCTTTCTTTTTAAATGTTGGTGACGAATTCATTTACATAAAAACGTGTGTTTGCATTGATACCTATTTATCCATGAATCACGTGACCAAAGTATCGCAAAGAAAATCTTTTTGCTTAATTTGTTGAAATAAGAATGATCTGTTAAGACATCAGTGGACTTTGTATTGTTGTCTAAAATATGAGTGAATTGTTTTTTTTATTGAACACACCTTCACTACGTAAGAGATTTCGTGAATCACGTGACAACGAAAGGTCAAGAAACAAACCGAAAACATAAACGTAAATTTGTTTGCGATTTTATCCGGTTTAAAAAGAAAACTTCCATTTGTAGCGTTAATAAAAGTTAATAAAAAACATATTTATTAAACATATAAGTTACAGTGTAAACGGGTGTGTGTACAGTTCCAAAATAGGTTTGCTAAATTTAAAATTTTAGCACTATTTACGAGGATTTAATTGTTTGTGTACACGAAAAATTAACACCACTAAAAAATATCTATTCTTCCTTAATATAAAAGGTTAAAATTGAAATTTGAAGGCAGTGTTAAATTAGAAATGGGGCAACGTAGATCGCTGTAAAATTTAGGTTTTTTTTACAAAAAGGTTTAGTTCTCTTACATGCAACAAATGGTTAATTCAACTTTAAATTTGTATCTTAGGAGACGATCTAAAAGTGAACAAAATGTTTTTATCTTTCCAACGTTTAAGTAAGTTACAATTTCTTAACAATACATTTAAAAGTAGTAAATTTAAAAGTTAAAAATCTCACAATTATACACAAATGAGCGTCTATTATCTTCTAATAACATGTGCATTAAGTCAGATCAATCCGATAAAATCCATTAATAAAGTTACATAATATGAAGGCTTTCACGGTCGGAGTTAATTCAACTAAAACTGTGAATAACAACTAAAACTAGAACTAACATCAGATCTAGAACTAGAAACATTCGGGTTTAGCAGTTCGAAAGTTTCTAGTCCTAAGTCTAGTGTTAGTTCTAGTGGTAGTGGGCAATTATTAGAAATAACACTAGACCTAGAACTAAAAAAAATCAGAAAGGTCTAATGTTAGTTCTAGTGTTAATTCAACAAAAATATATCAGCTTTTTCTTTTGAAATTATTTTGAGTGTAATTATTAATATCAACAATGGTCACTTAATGTGCAAAGATAAAAAAGATAACGAAAAATTTGTATTTGTCATTAATACACGCTTTTTTAGACGTCAGAGAAACTGCGAAATAACCAAAAAAAATTAGTACTATTCAATAATAAGTACTAATGAATTTATTTCATTACGTAAACCAGTTAATAATCGAGGTGTTAATTAAATATGCTCGGTGAACTGCTAAACGTTTTATCGAATGATTTATTCTGTAAATATTTGCATAATTTATGTATTCGGTTATGCATCGAATAATTGCGATGGTTATCGCAATTATTTGATACTAATTGTAAATTTATGTTTAATTATTTTATTTACAGGCCACCGGCTGAAAATTCCCCGGATGATTTTACGGAATCAACGGAATCTTTGGACGATAAAAACCCGAGGAGGCAACAATGGGCTAATAAACTCCAATTTGTTTTGGCTTGTGTAGGATATAGTGTTGGATTGGGTTCGGTTTGGCGGTTTCCTTATTTATGTTACAAAAGTGGTGGAGGTAAATTTTTATTTATTTATTTTTAATCTGATATTAAAACACGATTTATGCCAAACAAAAATCTAATCTAAAACGAAATGAAAAAGTTTTATGAAAACCTATTTGTTATCTCGTTTCTAGTACTAGGTCAAATTGCCCTTGGACGTAATTGGAAATGAGATAATTTCCTAACATCCTAATTTACTCGGATCTAGAAAAAGAGCGGAATTAGATAATCAACCTTTTTCAGTCAATTAATAAAAGCCAAACATTTTCTTTTTTTTTTTAAGCCGAGGAATAAAATCAAGTCATTGTTACTTTTAACGGTCTGTAACAATTCGTTTCAAATCAATGTTTAACCTTGAATAAACTAATCTTTAAAAAGAAATCTCATTTTATTTATGAGTGTTTGCATACGATTTTTAGATTTTATTAAAATTGAAAATGGGAATTTTAATTTTTAAGTTTATATGAAATCTAATAAGAAAACATTTGGGTTTAGCCGTCTTGAAACACGCACTTTAGTATTAGTTCTAGTTTTAATTCACGAAGAAAGGGGGAAAGTGGCTAGAACTACCATTTACATGTACAGGGTGGTTCAAATTTGATGTCCGAATAGGCTAACTCGGAAACTATAAGAGTTAGAAAAAAAGTAGCTTACATGTCATGATCTCGTTTTTCGAGAAACTGCTAATGCCGAAAACCTCATAGCACTATCGTCTTTTGTTTTTCCCCTAGAGGCCAAAATTGAAAATATCGTAAAACCAATAAGTGCAATTATCTTGGTTATTATTATAGGTGGAGTATTATAACTACGACATTATATGGACACTTTTTTACAGAGAATTTCATGATATAGTCAAAAAAAATTTTTGTTTTAGAATAAAGCTAAAAATAAACTTTTTTTATAAAATTTCCATCTACTTAGTGTCGTCGAGGAAATTAAATTTACAGTTTCCTGTAAGTTACGGGGCGGTAGGTAAAATCTAAAAAGTTAACAATTAAATACGAAGATAAGTTCTGGTATTTAAAAACAAATAATTTTTTAATATGTAACATTCTAACATGTCAAACTTTTCAAAATTTTCGTAATTGATCTTAAAAACAGGATTTTTAAAGTGACACTTCAGAAAATTTTTGAATACAAACAAATGTTGCTATGTTTATTTGAATTAAAAAAAAAAAAATGAGCGCCATCTATCGATAATTTATTAAGTCATTTAAAAATAATATTAAATCGTAATAAAAAATGTGAAATAATGCAATCTATTCCAACTTTTGTGTAAAACATATATAAATTAAACAGTTCAACAAATATATTTGTTTCAAATATCAGAAATATGTTTTTTTAATTTTTAGTTATAGAACCGTAATTTACAGGAAACTGTAAATTTAATTTCTTCCACGACACTAAAAGAAAAGTTTATTTTTAGTTTTATTCTAAAACAATAAGAAATAGACCTGTCAAACCCTATATTTTTGTAATCAGAAAAAAATAACGAATTTATTAAGCGAATAATCAGTGGTTGTTTCCATTTAAAAAAACGAAAATTGTGATAATATCTCAAAATCTAAAACCGACAAAATTTTTTTGACTACGTCATCAAATTCTCTGTAAAAAAGTGTCCATATAATGTCTTAGTTATAATACTTATAATACTCCACCTATAATAATAACCAAGATAATTACATTTGCGGGTTTTACGATATTTTCAATTTTGGCCTCTAGCGGAAAAACAAAAGACGATAGCGGTATGAGGTTTTCGGCATTAGGAGTTTCTCGAAAAACGAAATCATGACATGTCAGCTACTTTTCTTCTAATTCTTATAGTTTTCGAGTTATAGCCTATTCGGACATCGAATTTGAACCACCCTGTACTACCAATGGGCTCCTGAACACACTATAAGCACCGATATTGTGCTATCAATGCCGTTAGATTTGACCAGTAATTAATGCTAATGCTAATGATCGAGAACGAAAATAGAAGTATAGGTACTGCCAGACACTTCAGATTAAGCAAGCTTACAGCCTGGGTACGTACTGTACTGTGTGCCAGATGGAAGTATTTGCTATTCACACTGAGCTGTGATAAGAGTTTCTCTGATCTGGGCCCAGGTCACTCTGGGGTTGCTGGCAATGAAGCGGCAGATGAGCTAGCATGAGAGATTTGTGGGGCCAGAGCCAGCAGTTGGTATATCATTTGCGTTGGCCAAACATAAGATTGGACTGTAAGCTGAAGAGAGACTACGCCTGCTGTGGACCAGTTCTCCTGGAATGAGACCTGGATGAGAGGGAATATTTTAGGACTTGCTCGTAGCAACATTAAAGTTGAGCACGTTTTAAGTCACTGCCCTGCTGTTAATCGTATCAGATTCTCGATTTTTGTATAATATATGTAATGTACATAATGTAATATATGTATAATCTATTTCATTCCTTTTTTCCAGGCGTATTTCTCATCCCATACTTTTTAATAATGACAATTTGCGGAGTTCCAATGCTTTATATGGAACTAGCGGTTGGACAATTTATCGGAAGAGGTCCAATTGCGGCGTTAGGCAGTTTGTGTCCTTTATTTAAAGGAGCAGGACTCGGCAGTGTCGTCGTTTCATTTTTAATGTCAACCTATTATTGCGTTATAATCGCTTACGGTGTTTATTATTTCTTCACATCGTTCAAACCGAAACATCCTTGGATTGATTGCACGAATCGTTGGAATACAGAGGATTGTTGGATTCCAGCTAGATTAAACGATAATAAATCAAGACCATTTCGAAGTCACACACCGGCGGAAGAATTTTATGAGTAATTAATTATTATCAAGATTTTTGAAGGATTACTTTTTAAATATAATTTAATTTTTTTCAGTGTTAAAGTTCTTCAAATTAGTGATGGCTTGGAAGATTTTGGAACGTTACGATGGGAATTAGTGGCGTGTTTATTATGTGCTTGGGTTTTAGTTTATTTTGGTCTATGGAAAAGCATAAAATCTTCCGCGAAAGTGAGATATTTAACGGCAACTTTACCGTTTATTTTAATTATTGTTTTCCTGGCGAAATCGTTAACTTTGGAAGGAGCCGAATTGGGATTGAGATATTTTTTCAAACCTAAATGGAATCTTCTCAAAGACGCAAAGGTATGTTTTTTACTTAGGAATTAACACCCAACCTTGAAGTTTCAAACTTTTAAAAACTTATCAAACTGAATAATCTTATCAGATGAAACCATCTCCTTTATTACCCTTCTTATTTATTGTACATACCGTAAATTTCAACATATTAAGTGAGTTTATTTCTTTTTCTTTAAATACATTTTATGATTCGAATTTTATAGTTTTATAAATACTTGTTTTAACCTTTGTTAAAAATAATTTCTGGGAAATGATAAATGTTTTTATTTTTTTTTTTTGCAAAAGAGTTTAATAACGATCAACCTTTTACGTCTGTGACGTGCTAAAGATACATTAACCACCCAAGAAGGTTGCCTTGAAAACTGTTCCTACTTCACTTATATGGAGTTATACATGATTGAAAATGAATAAAACACCACTTTATTTATCCACTGTTATGTAGTAAAGCTGTAATTTCATCCTTTAAAAACCAATCTTATAATGGGATTGAATGCGAGGTTTTTATACCATATTTTTTTTAATTTGACTTTTCATAACTGAAATAGAGAGAAGTAAGTAACGTAATTTCCACTTTGCTGATAATACACCATATTAATTAATTTTTATTTCTTTTTTTATTTCTATATACCTGGAAGTTTAAGTTGGTGAATACCAGTAAGCCCAATATATGCTAAGGCAGCTAACAAATATTGCCAATCATAGAGAATTGCAACCAAGATATGATCCAGAATGCCATAAACAATTATCTTTCTTAAATCAAAGAAATCCAGTTTTTCAGAAAATTGAAAACGCCAAAAATGATTATCTTTCCTTTCTTTTAAGTGATGAGGAGTACGATGCAGTTTATATTAATTTTATCAAGAATTCTGCTCAACCCGAAATTTATAAGAAATCCATGAAAATTAGTTTCTCAGAAAAATTTAAATACTTATCTTTCCGTATTTGTTACTCTATACATGATGAAGAATACGATGTGGATCAAATTAAATTAATCACAACTTCTGCTCAGTTCTGTATTTATACTTTATATTCAACGTAACTGAAGTTTTATTGAAATATGAAACGACAGTAGATTTTTTTTTCAATTTGCTGCATCCCAAAGAGCCCCCAAACTTGTTTATTAATTGGAAACGTCATAAAATTCGTACTTAAGTAAGAGTTAAGTTTTCACATTGAGAGTCAATTACGCAGCATCTATTTTGGTATAGAAATCTCCCAAATTTAACTCGCTATATATGTAATTATTTAGAGCCATTTCGAATGAAATTCCATTCATTGAAGTGTTCATAAAATCAAATATAACTACTTTCTCTTTCCTTTGATTTCCTTCCCAACGTCCTTAACCTAATTAATAGATTGATTCGATACAAACACCTTTCCTGTTGATTAGAAGAAAGTATTTAAAAATGTATTTAAAATATCGGATTTATAATTTTGTTTTCTAACTCTAACAGGTTTGGATAAATGCTTTAGCACAAACATTCAATTCAATGGGTATAGCATTCGGCTCGATGATTTCATTCGCCAGTTATAACAAATTCGAAAACAACATAATCCAAGATACGTTAGCCGTTTCCTTTGTAAACGCAATAACGAGTCTTTTAGTTGGAATTTTTGCATTTGCTACGCTTGGAAATATCGCCACGGAACAAAATACATCTATAGATAAAGTAATCACCGATGGTAAGTTTTTATTTCAATTATTTCATTGGTGTAACTTAAAACCGCACGTGTCCGATTGTTCCACGTGGGCAGACAAGAACTCTTACCACACGGATGCATTTATTCATTAACTAACAGGGCGTCTCGGTTTCATTACGTAATTAAACAGTCGGCGATAGAATTTTATTTAGTGTAATCTTTTTTTATTCAAACAACACATTATTGTAATTTTACGATTGTGTTAAAAATGCAAACCATAGATAAACAGTTTTAAAGATAAAATTAAATTATTGTATTAAAATAATTTGTCAACAAAAAAAAAAATGGTCAACGCAAGCATGAATGAACACTTAATGAAAGTATAACTATTTAATAACAGCCTTCATTCAAATTGAAAAATAGGTCTATTGCGAATAATTGGATGTTAAGTACTTGGCATAGTTATCAATCACTGTCCATCATTAAATCAACACTATATATTTATTTTTGTTGAATAAGATAATCTTGTTAAATTTAATTTTTTTTTGTTTAATAAAAGATAACGATTATTAATTATATGCTTCTAGTTCTAGTTCTAGTCCACATCGATCAAATTATATATCGTATATTGTATCTATTGCTTGTATAAAAATATTCAAAAACGTGTCTCTCTCAAATGCAGTAGTCTCAATATGCAAATATTGATTTTATAATTGCAAATCGAGCAGACGGATCGAATCGAAATTTCAATATTTATGAAGGCAAAACATTCATTCCGTAAATAATTAAATCTGACACCACAATAGTCATACAAATCAACTAGTTATCATTCAGGAAAATTCTTCATTGTTCATTTCAGTTGGTTAATTGATTAACAATTAGATTATTTATTTATTTATATTTATTTACCATTTATTGCCACAGACAAAAATACAAAATTACATAAGATACACTTAACTTAAACAGTATCAGCAAATGGATCATTTTATCGCACAAGCGATCTCTGCCAAATGACCCAACAGAACAAACAAAAATAAAAATAATATTTGCTGAATATGGCAAGTAGTGATAATTAGATATTATTAACATTACCAAATAAGATTAAGCAAGAAAAGAAACACAAAGAGAAAAATAAATAATAAAAGAAACTAAAAGAATCTGCCGGATATCAGTTGCCAACAAGTGAGAGCAGTTGAAGAGAGGAAAAAAGAGAAAGACAAAGAACAAAGAATCAGGAAACAGCCAGTTGAAGGGCAAGCAAGTGGCTCTTTAAAACATGTCTAAAATTAGTAATTCTAGAAATATTACGAATTTCAGAAGGCAGTCCATTTCACAGCGCAATCGACTGTACTGGAAATGATCTATGATAAATTTCAGTGCTATGAACGGGAAATATAAGAATAGTATCAGAACGTGAACGAGTAGCAAGCTCATGAGTTGATAATTGCTGGAACCTATCTGATCAGTACTTTGGGGTGCAGTTATGAAGGATTTTAAATAAAATGGTTAATAAACGAAAGGATCTTGAAAGTACTTTGGGGTGCAGTTATGAAGGATTTTAAATAAAATGGTTAATAAACGAAAGGATCTACGTCTCTCACAGGTTAACATCTGAATGTAATTGCGATACGGCGTTACATGCTCAAATCTATTTAGATCAAATATGAACCGGATACAATTATTTTGTAGCCGCTGAAATTTACTCAGAAGAGTCACCGAGAGATCGGGATAAACCGCGTCCGCATAATCGAAGTGAGGAAATATAAGAGAATAACAAAGATTACGACGCACCACAGGAGGAAGAGAGCAGCGAAGTCTTTTTAAAGAGTGGAACTTTTCTGCAAACATGTTGAATTTGCGGTTTCCAAGACAGTGGAAGGACTCCAAGATTTTTAACTGTGTTAGAAAACCGTATGACATTACCATCCAGCATCAGATCACTGCAGGCAGATGGATTAATCTTACCAAGTAATTGACGAGTTCCAAACACAATAGCTTGCGTTTTAACTGAGTTCAACTTAAGTCCGTATCTCCGAGACCAGTTCAAGACGTTAGATAGATCGTTATTAAGTCGCACAATAGCTGCCGGAAATTCAGCAACAGTTGTAGTAGTATATATCTGCAGGTCGTCGGCATACAAATGATAATTACACGAGATATAATTAGTAACACTATTAACGAACAAAGAAAACCCAATACACTGCCCTGAGGAACACCACATTTGATTGCACAAGCAGAAGAAATTGCAGAGTTAGCGCGTACGCACAAGAAGCGATGGGAAAGGTAGGATTAAAACCAAGAAACACAGGGGGGAGTGAATCCGTAGGCAGAGAGAGGCGCTAAAAGAAGGCTGTGGTCGACAGAATCAAAAGCCTTGCTGAAATCGAGCAGTACCAGCACAGTAACACATCTGTTGTCGCAGGCATACCTAATATCATCAGTAACTTTAATGAGAGCAGTAGTTGTACTATGCCCACTGCGAAAACCCGATTGCAACTCATTGTGTAAATTAAACCTCTCTAGAAATCCTTGGACTTGTAATAAACTAAGCGTTCAAGAGCTTTTGATAGTACGGATAAAATTGAAATCGGACGGAAATCAGTGTTACATGAAGAGGACTTGGATTTGGGTATGGGAACGACAGGAGCAACCTTCCACACAGAGGGAAACAAAGACCGCTCAAAAGAAAAGTTGAAGATATGAGTTAAGGGAGGAAGCAGAAGGTTGAGACCGATTATCATAGATTTCATCAGAATATTTTAAAAATGATTAAAACAATTAAAATTTTCCTTTCTTACATCAAACATAAATGATATATGTTTGAATTAACAGCCTTCGTGAAATCTTGAATCGTAAAAATAACATATTTTTTAGAATTAATCGTTAAACTATTAAATTAATGTATATTATTTTTGTTATAGGTCCTGGTTTAATTTTTGTTGTATACCCTCAAGCGTTAGCAAAAATGCCCGCTTCACATTTATGGTCGGTATTATTCTTCTTTATGCTATTATGTCTTGCATTAAACAGCCAAGTAAGCATTAAAAAAAATATTTACGATAATAATTTAACAAAATTAATTATCTAATTTAGTTTGCCATCGTTGAAGTCGTCGTAACATCTATTCAAGACGGTTTTCCGAATTGGATAAAAAAGAATTTAATGTGCCACGAAGTTCTCGTTTTAGTAATATGCGTGGTTTCATTCTTTTGTGGGCTACCAAATGTAACAAACGTAAGTAATTTTAAATATTAACGAAATTGAAATAAACAATAAATACTTTTTTTAGGGTGGAATTTATTTCTTTCAATTGATCGATCATTACGCTGCATCAATCTCGATAATGTACCTGGCATTTTTTGAAATCGTAGCGATAGCATGGTTTTATGGCGTAAAAAGATTATCGAGAGATATCGAAGATATGACAGGACGGCAACCTAGTTTATATTTTAAGTTTTGTTGGTACGTTGCCGCGCCTTTAATGATATTTTCGATTTGGGTCTTTTATATGATTGCATACGAGCAACCCACGTATGGAAATTATGCTTATCCTAAATGGGCGATAGCGATCGGTTGGATTATCACATCCTCCTCAATACTATGCATTCCAATATTTATGATTTACGTCATAACGAAAGCCGAGGGAGATACTTGTTGGAAAAAGCTGAAAAATTCTATTAAACCAGATCTGGAAGAGTGTAGAAATTGCAAAACTTGTATTAGTGATCATCATGAACCTTGTTATGAACAAGAACCTATGATTGGATATCAACCTGGAGTTAAAAAAAATGGTATTATTATTGCTCCAGTTGGATATAGTCCTGTACAAACTAATACTAGCACCGAAAGTAATGCTTCACCATCGTCACCACCTCCTAATGAACGGACGTAACAATAAGTGTTTTGTTATTTTTTTTTGTTTTTGATTTTAATCCAGTAAATTTGTCCAAATGAACCAATGGTAGCAATAATTATAAGACATACTCGACCAGTTTCCTGTGTAACATTGGACAATATAAATTGACTGGATTATTTAGCAATCTACTCCTTAAATTAATTTATTATATAAATGTTATACTTTTGGGTCGAAAAATACGTATCAACCAGTAGTGAGATATGAAATATAAAAGAGAAAGTACTGTGTGATATTTTGTTATATTTAAGTTTGTTTAGTAAGCAATAATTTGTTGGTTTTTATATTAAAAAAACCTTTAGTGAATGTTTATTGTAAAATAATGTACAAATCCAATGAAATATATTTATATTTCCAATCCAAATAGAAAACGATCTATTTAGAAATTTGTTTTTCTCATTCAAGGCCTTACCTTCCAACAATATTCTGAAAATATTTAATGAAAGTTAATTAGTGCAGGTTCATTTACTTGACCACTTTTAATGTTAGATGTATTATTTATTTCAGCAATATTACCTTGCAAATCTATGATGCGAATGATATTGATAATGCTAAACTTGCTAGATAAAGACTGCTAGCAGAAGACTACAAATTTCTGATAGAAAGCTTTGTGACAATTTTAACATTCTCTTAGTTCACCGAGAGAACATAACCTAGAAATTGTGACAGAGAGATTTTTTGTTGGTGAAAATCTTATCTTAAACCGTTTTGTTTGCTTCCAAAAGTATCAATTATTATAGTTCAGCTCCTAAAGCACATTTTTCATCCATCTTTTGAGGTTTTAACGTTATTTTGAGGAAGAAATCCTTGATTTAAATTTGAATTTTTTTAACTTTACTCATTGTTGAAATTTGGCGTGTACTCCAATGTATGTCTATAAACAAAAAAAGACAACGTTGAATACGAAGTTTTATTACGTTTCATAAAGGAATAAGGGAGAAATCAACGAAAAAAGAATTAAATTTTGAAGGTTAATTCCGAGGAAAATCAAGAGATGACGCTAGTTTCGAAGCAAGAATTTTGAAAAGGGCGCGAAGCTAAGAGCCAATCAGAAACGAGGAAAAAACAGTTGGAGTGCCGGGGTATATAAGGAGATCGCGAACAGGGAGTGAGACAGTCGTCGTCTGACCAGCGTTGAATCCACGTCGTCAGATAGAAGAAATTTTGAATCTCAAGAGATAACCTCAAAAATTTAAGATAATTTTTTTAAAAAAAAGTCAAATCAACTTACGATATTAAAATAAAAAGAGAATCTTCCGATCATCCAAGACCCTATTTCCGAAGAACAAGCAGTTCAATTTCCCGTAAGAAGAATCCTGTAGACAATCCAGAAAATTAGTTAGTGCCCCGAACACAAGAGACAATCCATAATCCAGATACCACATTGAACTCCAATCCTTTCTTTTTCGCAGTGAGTCGGATGATAATTTTATTTTCTTATTTAACATAACCTACAAAAAGAAAAATCAAACTCAAAGAACAACTCACAAGAGTTTCCTATAATTTTGATCAATACTTGTGGGTAAAGATTTATTAGTTTTCTTGAATAACGTTCATTTATTTAAATCTATTTTTCTTCAACGAGTTTGATGACAACTTAAGACGTCGGCCATTTCAGAGACAAGGAAGGATAGAGATGGGCAACTCTACCTTATTAAATTGTACCTTGCGTACAGCGCCATCCGATGTCACCGCAGAGTACTAATCATAGATTAAAACCAACTTCCACTAGGATAATGGTGTAAAACTGGGCTAACCAACGATCTGGCAACATTGTTCGCTGCGCATCGAAGCGAAGCGAGCGACGTTGCCAGATCGTTGGGATTAACTTTAACCGCCAAATTTAAAAATAACACAATTAATATTGCTTTGAAAAAAGGAAATAAATATATTTTAAATGAAAGATCTAATTTCAACATAATAATTTATTATTCACAAAACTAATAAAATTTGGTAACATAAATAGAATATAAGTACGAAGCTTTCACGGCCGGTGTTATTAAACTAGAACTAATAGTAGCACTATCGAAGACGACTCGAAATCACTTCGAAAATTTCTAGCTAGTGATAGTGCTACTATTAGTTCTAGTTTTAGTTCAATAAATAGAATAATGTTACATTTTGTTTACCCTAACAGTTTTTGTAGCGTCTTCCTGGATGGTAATGAAAAGAAATTTGATAAGAACCGGTATCCTTTACCACTTTGCTTATAAATGGAAAGAGCTAGCACTTCTTTTTTCTGATTTCGGGACTGACAGCTAAAGAAATTTCTAGTTTCTTTTTTTTAAATATTTGAGGTTCACCAATACCTGAGGATTTTTCCTCAATTGTATTAGCTTTTGCCTTATTATTCTGGCATTTTTTTTTACTCCAGTTAGGTTGCAATTGCTGCAGTTCTTTGTAAAAGGTAATTTCCTCCGTTTCTTATCTACAAAAATGAAGATAATTTTAAATAAGAATGATTATTCAGTTTTTATGTTTCCAATTCATTTCTAATGAAATGGCAGAATCTTCCTCACAAAATGAGGTTGAAGCAATTTCGCAACCTTGTTGTTTACTACATCCAGGTAGACTTGCATAACAGTTGAACTAGTTACACCAGGAAGTTTGTCGGGGCATACATATGTAGGGGTATAAATATATATATATGGCATGTCGGGGTATAAACATATATAATATGGTATATAATGAATTATATAATTATGAATTATGAAACTAAATAATTAATTTCATACCATGCAGCATACCTGAAGTATCTTCTGTTGGTTGATCTTGTGGAGACAAAAAGCAATTATTTATAGTTTCTTCTTACAAATCTAAATGATTTAAAAAACATATATAGATTAAAAAACAAACTTTTTATCCAAAATTTCATTTACCTAGTAAGCATAATGTAGGTAGCTTTTTCAATTTTTTCTCAACATATTTGCACATTGTTGCAAAATGGTTGGGGCAAACACAATAGTTACTTAGACGCTTATCATTAATTAATTCAAATAATTTTGAATTGTGTATTCCAGACAATAATATCTAGAAATACAGAATGAAAGTAATTATGCTGTATTAATTAATAATTTTTATAATTTACCTTTTAATGTCTATCATCACAAGATGGTACACAGCAAGGATTAATAACCGACATTTTTATCATTTAAAAAATTTTAAATGTTTTTTACACTTTTTTACACTTAATTACACTCATTATAGATGTATATCTATAAACAAGGCTAGGCATTGTTAATCAGAGAAAACCCCGAAAATATTATACACACACACCTTGGTGCATTCTATAATTTAATTTGTTATTACATATTTCTTTTCAACAAAACTATAAAAACATATGATACACATTTATTTCTAAACTTAGAATTACATTTTTGCTGATAAATATTTTCTGTCAACAATTTCTTCCCACCAACTCGGTTTGGCCATGTTAGCAGGATTACGTAAAAAGCTATTCTTCAAATTCTGATAAACTTGTCCATCTGAGGCTCCAATTGCTGATCGTAAGAACACATCAGGTGGGGCGATCGCGTCAACTAAAGCTACAGCATCAGGTTTGATTTCTCTACATAATTGCAAGATGCTTTCTTGAATTAAAGTGATAATTTCTGGACCGGAAGCGTAACCACCTTGGTAAAGTTGCCCTATAAAGTGCTTTTCAATGTTGAATAAACCATAAAGGTTTGCTAATTTTGTTAAAACCGCTGCGATCGCTGGATCTGTCGCTTCAAGAATTTCCTCTCTTACACAGGTCAAAGTGAAATGCTAAAAGATATAAATGTAAAATATGTTTAGTTAATATTATTATTAGAATAGAAAAAAAGTTTTACTTGAATATAGGCAATAGCGAGACTTCTGGCATAATAAACTTGTCCTTCATTTTTTGCTGTAAATTGATCTAACCCGGATTTTTTTAATCTTTCAATTCTTTCATAAGTAGATTTCAATAAATACATAACGATCCATTCATATGTATGGATGATATCTTAAACATTAAATAACCTTATAAGTACGAAGGCTTTCACGGCCGGTGTGAATTAAACTAAGATTAGAACTAAAACTAGAAACTTTCGGGTTTTGCCGTGCGTCTTTTAATAAAAGGTTTGACGTTTCGGATGCCATGTTGCAACCTTCTTCAGAAACTGGTTCGAAGTGACGAGATCAAAAAATCGGTAACTATATATAAGTCGGAAAAACTAATTAATAATCAGTTAACGCTAATTACAAACTAATTAATAACTAATTGCGTCGCGTCCGGTGTGAGGCGGGAAGAGGTCTTCGTGTTCACCACCATCTTCCATGTTCTGCTAAGCTCCCAGCCATCCTCTCTGTTGACGTTATTTTTATGTCGGTGCATCTCTATGGCTTCTCTTGTCAGTCTTTGGTAGTATCTGTTGTCCCTAGCCAGCACCTTTGTTTGTTCGAAGTCTATTCGGTGCCCCTCTGCATGGCAATGTTCCGCAACCGCCGACTGCTGGATCTTCTTCAGCCTGAAAGTGTTGCTCCTTCTTCAAGTTCTCTCCTTCACATAGTCTCGCTGCTCGCTGAAATAATGTACGGATCACGGACCTCTTCTGTTGGGGATACTGGACCCAGCCACCTACAGGAACCCACAGCAAAATCGTTAGAAAAATGAAGGAACTGATAAAATCTACAGGAATTCCAGCAGAACAGCAGAAATGTTTGTTTGTGCAGGCGCCGGTACCACCAAGAATCTACGGACTACCGAAGATTCACAAACCAGACGTCCCCCTCCGCCCTATCGTCAGCGCCATCAACTCCCCAACATACCAGCTGGCTAAACATCTTGCAAAGATTCTGTCCCCCTTTATAGGTAACACGGAATCGTATGTCAGGGATTCTACACATTTTGTGGAATCGGTAAAAGGTGTAAAGCTGGATGCTGGGGATATGTTGGTAAGTTTCGATGTGGAATCCCTTTTTACTAGGGTACCTAGAGGGTCTTCGCCGAAAACTCATTCCGGAGGGTTTACCAGGATACGTGCCAGATCTGGTGGAGTATTGCTTATCGTCGACGTATTTCAGCTGGAAAGGAGAATTTTACGAGCAGTTCGAAGGGGCAGCCATGGGATCTCCACTATCGCCAGTTATAGCTAATTTCTACATGGAATTATTCGAAGAGGACGCTTTGAAGAAGAGCCAGTGGAAACCAAAACTATGGCTCCGATATGTGGATGACACGTTTGTGATATGGCAACATGGTCAAAAACGGCTCCAAGAGTTCTTGGATCACTTGAACTCTCAACATCCTATGATTAAGTTCACCATGGAAACAGAAACTGCCAAAAAACTACCTTTCCTAGATGTGTTGGTCACCAGGACGACAAATGGAGATATAGAACTTGGTGTATACCGAAAGAAGACCCATACCAACAGGTATTTATAGGCATGTTCACATCATCATCCCCAACAGAAGAGGTCCGTACATTATTTCAGCGAGACTATGTGAAGGAGAGAACTTGAAGAAGGAGCAACACTTTCTACGAGGCGTGCTGCAGAAGAATGGATACACTTCGAGGAACATCAACCAGGCCATCAAGCAGCGAAAGCAAAAAGAGGACACGGTAAGTACAAAACCACTTGGATTTATCTGTCTTCCCTATGTTTCAGGTGTAACGGAACGAATTGCTAGGCACCTCAAGAAGAACGACATCGTAGTGCGGTACGGCACGGTCAGCAAAATTCGGAACACACTCCCGATAGCCAAGGACAAACTAACTCCATTAAAAGGAGCGGGAGTCTATCGACTATCGTGTAGTTGTGGGAAGGTTTATGTTGGCCAAACTGGACACAACGTCGAGTGCCGCATCAAGGAGCATGAGAGGGATGTAAGGCTGAAGAAGATCCAGCAGTCGGCGGTTGCGGAACATTGCCATGCAGAGGGGCACCGAATAGACTTCGAACAAACAAAGGTGCTGGCTAGGGACAACAGATACTACCAAAGACTGACAAGAGAAGCCATAGAGATTCACCGACATAAAAATAACGTCAACAGAGAGGATGGCTGGGAGCTTAGCAGAACATGGAAGATGGTGGTGAACACGAAGACCTCTTCCCGCCTCACACCGGACGCGACGCAATTAGTTATTAATTAGTTTGTGATTAGCGTTAACTGATTATTAATTAGTTTTTCCGACTTATATATAGTTACCGATTTTTTGATCTCGTCACTTCGAACCAGTTTCTGAAGAAGGTTGCAACATGGCATCCAAAACGTCAAACCTTTTATTAAAGGACGCACGGCAAAACCCGAAAGTTTCTAGTTTTAGTTCTAATCTTAATTTAATTAAATAACCTTATTATTAAATATTAATAATCTTACATTCTATATCGAATAGTTGTTGAACTGACGTAGGGGTCCATGTAGTTTGTAAAATATGAAGCCCCTCATTGAAAAAGTCCATCGATCGTAAAGGAGAATTAATTGTTTCTCTTTTAAGTACATCGGGCCAATATTTCAACAGTTGATTTGTTGTTTGTTGGATTAAAACGTGATTTTCACCTTCATAAGTAGAATTTGCGTCATGATCGTTTCTGGCATCGCTTATCCCGGAAGCTTTGAGGTAACCATGCCCGGCGCAAGCTTCGCGGCACTCTTGAATAACATCACGAGTTGTCCACGAAAAAACCGGTTTAGAAGCGGAAGATAAAACATGCAATTCCATTCCTATTAAAGGATCGTGTTTTTTTGAAATTCTAGATAATTTAATTAATTGTTTATACATAAACTCAGATACTATTTTAGCACAATAAGCCGTTGCTAAATATGGAAGTAACCTATGTTGGTGTAATTGATACTCAAGAACTGGTAATTCTTCGCCGTGTTCGGGTCCAAATTGTTTTCTAACAGCCCCATATCTAATTGCGATTGTAATAACTTTCATTAAGTAAACAGCGGAGGAATGAGTTATTGTGATTCTTCCTACTGATAATCCGCCTAATGTATCACCATGTCTTTTATTTTTATCTTTGATTGGTGTTATATATTCCCCAGAGGCTGTTACATCGCCGTTTTTATTTAAAAGATTATCTTTGGGGATACGATATTTGTGGAACATTAAAAAGCCGTTATCAACCGCGTTTAATCCAGCTTTTTCGCCTAAATCTCCAATGGAAATTCCTGGGTAAGGTTCAAAACTTTTTGGATTTCTTAAAGGTACTACAAAGCAATGTAAACCGTGCCTAACACCATCAGGAGTTATTAATTGTGCGAAAACAACCCCATGAGTCGCTGTTTGACCTAATCCGCCAGCCCAACATTTTGCTGCTTCGAAATCGGGGGAATCTAAGATAAATTCTTGTGCCTCAGGGTCATATGTGGCTGTTGTTCGCATACCACGTGCATTTGTACCATGACCAACTTCGGTTAAACAAAAGCAACCAAAAATCTGAATTATATTGAAATTAGAAAATGTGAAATTATTAATTAATTCTTACCTTGCGTTCCATAATTTCATTAACGTAGTTAATATGTTTAGAGGTACCCAAAGAAAGTATAGTGTTGGGAAACATTCCAAAATTAATGTGTAACTTAACCGTTGTTGCATGATCTATGTTATACAAAATATTACTAACCGCAATATTTTTCATGATATTACCAGAAATTTCTTTGATACTATTTAACGTAAACATTTTATGAACACCGATTCTTCTTAATTCGTCTAATTGGGGTGTTGTTATTGGTGATTGAAAAACGGTATGTTGGATAAGTTCATTGTATAATTTATCCTTTAATTATAAAAGTTGCAATTAAATTTATAATTGATACATTGACCTTACCATAAATTCTATAACTTGCATCGAATCCAAAAATATTCTCATATTCTTCCAATTAAAAGAGGCACTTTTTCTATAACGATCCAAAGGACCAGGTGGAAAATCAGCAAGAAGTGAGATTTTGTTTACAACCATTTTTCAATAACTATTTGTGCTAAATCAACCGAAATTTACGCCTCAATACCCAAGTAGAGAGTATTTTAGAATGATTAAAGTCGGCTTATTGAACTTTGATTTGATAAAAAATTATTGTTTCTTATCATTTTTTTTTAATATTAAACATAACGAAGTGGAATGTTTTGGAATTTTATCATATTAAAATTAATTATTGACTAAACTCGAATATTTCTAGTTTTAAGTTTAGTAATAGTAATAGTGCTAGTGATAGTTTTAGTACAGGTCGTAAAATCGTTATGTTACATTTTTATAATTTTTTTATTTTAAACTAAACGGAGCTAAAATTTAGTTGGTAATTATTGACGTATTACGTTTTATCATTTAATTTATTATTGACTTATTAGAAAAAAAGCAAAAATTGAAGAATCATCATGTGGTTTAAAAATCGATGATTTTTTTTTAATTAATGTGAATTGACCAAAAAAACACGTTAAAAATAAAATAATTACATTAAAGTTTCGATGTGACGTCACGTTTTGTGACGCATGGTTAAACCCGAATGTTTCTAGTTCTAGGTCCAGTGTTAGTTCTAGTTTTACTGCCACTGTCATTAGAACTAACATTAGACCATTAGATTGTTTTTGATAATTACAATTTTCCCCTTAATACATCCTAATATAATATATGTCATTAGTATATTATTTTCACCCTCCACTCTCTTCCTCCATTTCCATACCCTCGGCTCCTCGGCCCAATCCTCCCCTCATCCATCCCTTTGTCTCCTCACCCCCACAACCATTCTCATCCATCGTTTCCCCTCTCCCCCCTCTCTTAAGATCTGCCCTCGGTCCAACTCCTCCTCCCTCAACTCACTGCACCCATTCAACATATGTTCCAACGTTTCCCATTCCTCCCTGCATAGCCTACACCACCTCTCCTCATCGGCCATCCAGTATCTGTTAGCTCTCTCCTCGTTTCCACAACGGAACCTAGCCACCAACTTCTTCCCTTCCTCATCTCCTTCCAATAACAAGTATCTAGGCAGCCCCTCCGTAATTATGTCCCTGTACCTTTCGTTATACCTCCCCTCTTTTATTTGTGTCCTTCTTTCCTGTCTCTGCACATCTCGGTCCCTATCTCTCAACTCCCTCCACATCTCCCTACCCACCCTTCGTCTACTATTTATCTCAGTTACCGAGTAGCCCGCTCGTCTATAATAGTTGTCTCTGTCTCCTTTCCCATATCTGATCTTTCCCTCTCTAATTTCCCTCCAACACTCCCCCAAGATCCCGCAGTTTGGCCTCCCTTCTATTCTTTCTTCATATTTCACTGCTCTCCTGCCCGCCTCCACTCTGACCTTATCCACCTTTACCTCTTCCCTCACTATATACCCCGGTGTTTCTCTCGCCACCCCAAGCACCCATCTCCAGTATCTAGCTTGCACGTCCTCCAGCATTGCCTGCTCTCTCCATCCCCATACCTCTGCTCCATACATCATCACACTGCTAACCAGACCTTCAAACATAATCTTCCTCGCTGCCACATTCCTTCCAAAGACTCTCTTCCCCCAACCCCATACTTGTCCCATCACCTTATTCGCCTTTTTTGCCATAGCTATCACATGCGACCCCTCCCTGTTGTCCTCCCTGAACACATACCCCAAGTAAGTATACTCCCTAACCTCCTCGATCTCTTTTCCCTCCCATCTCCAGTTTTCTGTTCTTTTTCTCCCACCCTTACAAAACTTCATCATCCTTGTCTTCCCCACATTCACTTCCAGCCCCTTCCCCCTAAAATATCTTTCCAATGTCTTTATCATATCTTTCATCTCCGCCGCTTCTCTCGCCATGACCACGATGTCATCCGCGTATGCTAACATATGCACCTTTCTACCTCCCACCACCAACCCTCCCATTTGCCCCTTCCCCAATCTATCCTCCAGGTCCGCCGTATACAGTGCAAACAGACTTGGGCTCAGCGGACATCCCTGCCTCAGTCCCTTCGTCGTCCAGAACACGTCGCTCAGCTTATCTCCCACTTTTATCCTAGCCATAGTCTCCATGTATATTTCCTTCACTCTCGCAATTAGGTGTTCCGTGATCCCCCTCCTCCCCATCTCCTCCCACAACTTTCCCCTATCCACCTTATCAAAAGCCGCCTTCAAATCTATAAACAGGGCGTACAATTTCCCTCCCTTCTTATCCAGCTCTCTATCTGCCAGATGCTTCAACACGTACACGTTGTCGATTGCTCCCCTTCCCTTCCGAAAGCCTGCCTGCCCATCCGGCAAAATTCCCCCCAACTCCATCTCCTCCTCCAGTCTTCCCAGCAGTATCTTCGTGTATACCTTGTATGCCGAGTCTAGTAGGTTAATTCCTCTGTAGCTTTCTACCCTTCCCTTATTACCCTTTTTATATACTGGGCAAATTACCCCCACTTTCCATCCCTCCGGAATCCCCCCCCTCTCCATACGCTATTCATCCCCTCCAACAACTACACTCTCACTACCCTTGATGCTTCCAACCATGCCTCGTTCTGGATGCCATCTTCCCCTGGCGCCTTTCCCTTCTTCAATCCCCTAAGCACTGCTTCCATCTCCTCTTCTGCTATCTCCTCTCCCCTATCTCCCTCATAGCCTCCCAAACCGAGAACTAGAAATATTTGCTTAAACGGGAATGATTATACTTCTAGGTCTGGTGTTTGTTCTATGTAAAATTAAACCAAAAACTAGAAACATTCGGATTTAGCTCATTTAGCCGCACGTCTCTGCTAGTTCTCTGCTGCGTCCCTCAGTGTTAGTGCAAAACTAGAACTAACACTAGACCGAGTACTAGAAACATTCGGATTTAGCTCTCAAGACGGCTAAACCGGAATGTTTGTATTTCCAGGTTTAGTGTTAGTTCTAGTTTTAGTGCAATAAAAATATGCAACATAGTGATATTTTATGCTAACTAGCGCTACCTACCACTGTCACTAGAACATTACACATAAAACTAGAAATATTCTGGTTTAGCCGCACGTCTCTCAAGACGGCTAAACCCGAATGATTCTAGTTCTAGGTCTTGTGTTAATTCTAGTGCAAAATTAGAACTAACACTAGACCGAAAACTAGAAACATTCGGATTTAGCCCCACGTCTCTCAAGACGGCTAATCCCAAATGATTCTAGTTTTAGGTCTTGTGTTAGTTCTAGTGATACTGTTAGTGTAAAACTAGAACTAATACTAGATCTAGAATGTATCAAGTCACAAAAAGTGACGTCACGTCAAAACTTTAAAGTGATTTTTCGGTAAGTTTTACACATTTCCGGATTTTTTTTATTTGTAACGGCTTACTTGAGCGATTTCGATTAAATAAAAATTGTCGATTTTTAAGCCACATGATCATTCTTGAATTATAGCGAAAAAAAAAAGAAAAATAATTATAAAAAATAATTTTATTACATATAAAAACATGTATAACAATAAAAAATATATCAAATTGTATCCACATATGCTTCAAAACTTATTCTTTACCCCAATAACAACTTCCCCAAATCATTAAAAACAAAACCAAATTACATTTTTGGTTTCAAATAGTTCCTATCAACAATTTCTTCCCACCAACTCGGTCTGGCCATATTAGCAGGATTACGCAAGAAACTGTTCTTCAAATTTTGATATACTTGTCCATCTGAGGCTCCAATTACAGACCGTAAGAACATATCAGGTGGCGCTACAGCATCAACTAAAGATACAGCATCAGGTTTGATTTCTCTACATAATTGCAAGATGCCCTCTTGAATTAAAGTGACAACTTCTGGACCAGAAGCGTAACCGCCTTGGTAAAGTTGCCCTATAAAGTGTTTTTCAATGTTGAATAAGCCATAAAGGTTAGCTAGTCTTGTTAAAACGGCCGCGATTGAAGCATCGGTCGCTTGAGCGATTTTATCTCTAATACAAGTTAGAGTGTAGTGCTAAAAAATTAAAGATTAATAAACAGTTAATAAATATAAATAATAGATTTACTTGAATGTATGCAATAGCAAGACTTCTGGAATAATAAACTTGTCCTTCATTTTTAGCTGTAAATGGATCCATTCCAGATTTTTCAAACCTTTCCATTCTTTCATATGTTGATTTCAATAAATAAATAACAATCCATTTATATGTATGGATGATATCTTAAAAAAAAAATGAAAGGTAATTAACAATAAGGAATTCAAAAGAGAAAACAGTTAAAAATAGTCGGGATAATACTTGAGGTCACAATTTTAAATCAATACTAATGTATTGCATACTTCATTAGATTGGACAAACAATTGATACATATACATACAGGGTGTCTCAGTGAGACCGGTCATTAGACGTTTCTGAGGTTCTGGCCAAAATAAATATTTAGATTTAAGTATTATTAATTGCGTTCTCTTCGCCTAAAATATTTTCCGATTTCTAACACTTCCGGTTATACCGGAAGTCGCCACCTTTATTTTTTTACAAGTTTGGATTTGTCTGTTTTCAAGGGTTATAAATAACTTTACTTTTTACAATTTGATTTTAGGCCGTTCTCGAGTTATTCGAATTTTTCTAGAAAAATCTGCTCCAGCAGATATTTGTTCAAAAAATCAGAAAACACTCGATTTTTGAAATGCCCCTAGAATAAGATATACAATAAAATAACGAATCCTATTTGCGAATCAATAAATCTTCTAAGTCGTTCTTCTTTCGATTCGTTTTTCTTCATTTTTATTTATATACACTGACCGGCAAAAAAAACCGGCCACCAAAATGTAGCCACAATTTCAAAGCTGGCTTACTCGCGAACCACTCATTCGATTTTGATGATTCTTTTTTTGATCG